CTGGGACTACAGGCGCCTGCCACAGTGCCCAACTATTTTAGAGATGAGGTCTCACTCTGGCTCGGGCTGATCTTGAACCCGTGAGCTCCGGTGATCAGCCCACCTCGGCCTCCCAGAGGGCTAGGATTACAGGAGTGAGTCACCGTGCCCGGTAGGATTCTGCAAGATTTTTACTGGAGGTATCTGTGTGTGGAGTTTATAGTAGAGTATTGCATTTCATTACTTGTAAATTATGGGCCACACATGTTTTATGTCAGTAAAATTTAGTGTAACAAACCTCTTACCCACTTTGGGAGGCCGAGGCAGGAGGATTTACTTGAGAAGAGCTTAAGAATAGTATACATCATGTAGTAAGATCCCCATATCCGCCAAAAATAAAAAACAAACGAAACTCTGTGCCTATACGCACGTTTTTTGCGGAGGGCTGGTTGCCAGGCGCAGAGTCAGGGTCTGGGGGGACAGCAGGGACCCGCGGTTACGCCCCAGCCTCGCCCCAGCCTAGCCGGGCCTTCTAACCGAAAGCCAACCGCGAAGGTTTCGCTCCATAGTCGCCACTAGAGGGCGCGCGAGAGGCGGGGAGTTGCTTCGCGCTTTGTCCCCCCGCGCGGCCCGTCGCTCCCGCTCCCGCGGGAAAATCCGACTGAGGCGTCGGGGCCACCGCCCCTTTCTGCCCTCTCTTGCTTGCCTGAGGCTGCCGGCTGTGATGGAGGAGGAAACGGCAGAGGAGCAGCAGCAATTCTCTTACCAACAGGTACAGGAAAAGAAGGTCCCGAGTGGGCTTGGCATGGACGGAATTTTGGGACATGAAAATGTGGCCTCGGTCAACTTTTGGGGGGGGCCTCCTTCCAGGTGTCAGCCGCTCGCGCCGTCTGCGCACGCGCTTGTCGGCGCCGCACGCGGTGCTGGGAGACGGTTTCCGGGGCAACGCGGCTGTACCCGGCCGCGCGGTGAGGGAAGGAGGCAGGTCCCCGGAGCTCCGGCGCGGGCATCGGACGGCCTTCCCCTCTCACGCGGGGTCGTGGGGAGGGTGGAAGGGGGAATCCAGGTCACGCGCTGGCCCCGGAGCGCTCCGTAGAGGCCGAATTCAGACCAGGCAGGCCGGCCCAGAACTCATTCGGGGTCGGGTTCGAATCTCGGCCCCGCCACCGGGTGATTGTGTTGGCTCTGGCTCATACGCAGTTTTCTTCTGTATAAAATCGGAGTTAAGAGTAACCACCTCTTGGGTAGTTGCGGGGATTCCAGCAACGGGAATTCCGGGTGGCAGAATCAGAACGTTATGGCGCCGTGCGGACGTGAGACCCGGAGCGGCAGCCAAAGAGGAGGGGCTGAATTCAGGACGATGAGCTCAGGACGTGCGAGATCCCTGTCCGTAAAGGGCTACATTTCAGCCGCTGCGTACCCGCCCTTTTTAGTTTGAGCAGTTCACACCTCCAGAAAAGTTGCAAGAATTGTTTACTAAGCACCCAGATGCTTTTCACTTTGATTCACCACATTTTTAGCATTTTGCTGTATTTCCTTTTTATTCTGAATTATTTGAGAATTAATTGCAGATGTCTTGTTATTGCACCTTTAACTTTCTTTTTGCAGTTTTCGGCCGGGGCCAGGTTTGAACCTGCTACCTCCGGTTTATGGGGGCGCCGCCCTATACCTTTAACTTTCAGTATTTTAGTATGTATCACTCAAGAATAAGGGCATGCTCCTATATCATTTCTAAATCACACTCGGAGAGTTTAACATTTTTTTTTTTTTTTTTTTGAGACGGAGCCTCAAGCTATCCACCTGGGTAGAGTGCCTTGGCATCGTGCTCACAGCAACCTCCAACTCCTGGGCT